TTTTTTTTTTTTGTTTTTTTTTTTTTAGCAATGCAGCTTTTGTAGTGAAACAAGCACCTTTTGTTCGTTTGTTTGAAATAAATTATAGGTCTGAAATTACCTGTCACCGACACATTTTGCTCATCATCCAGGCTGAGCCACAGGATATTTGTGTTTTAGCAATAAGCATGCGTGTGCACTCCGCGGTACTCCTTGCAGGGGCCGTACTTCCAGACTCCGGCAGGTATCCTGCACAGCTTTCTCATCTCGCATGATGGTTGCTATAGCGAAAGCTGTAGACTTTAAAGACAGGTTACATTCATTTTAAAATGTTGCCTTAAAATGAGAACACATCAAGGCACTGTATTAACTGACATTTGAAATTATATGACTAACGCACTCGTACTTCTCCCCCTTTGTAGTTGCGAGAGTGGCGCTAGTGATTTATGATGGCATTTTTGACATTGGAAGGATCAGAAAGGTTTTGAGTTTAATGAGAATTTTCAGTAATTCCCATGGGTTTTTTTTTCACTCCTTCTATACAGAAAAGGAGAAGGAGGGAAAAAAATTATGTCGTCCTCTTCAAAACTACAGTATGCAGTAGTTGGAGATGAAGGAACATGGCAGGTTTGTGATGTTGAAGCGATAGATGCATCTTGACACACATTTTATATCTGTCTCATTCTCTGTGCAAAGCTTTTATAGTAACTGGCATCCTCACGAATGTCTTTAAATGAGAACTCCAGGAAAATGTAAGAAAATATATATTCATTGAAACACTACTAAAGATTTTTTTTTTTTAGCTCTACTTTGTGTAATTATATCAAAAAATCCTTTCTAAAGCCTCCTGCACACCAAATGAAACGTTAGATCATATCCAACATAGGAAAACTGCGGCACTCCAGAATCAGTGTGAATTCCTTTATTTTATATGATCTATTAGCATCCAGAAAACATCATGGAAAGACATCTCTAACGCGTTTCATGCAACCTTGTGCTTAATCATAGTGATTTATTATTAAACACAAGGTTGTGTTAAACGCATTAGGGTTGTCTTTCCATAGAGTGGAAGGTCTACTGGTCTCCTCATAAGCAGGCCCCAGAAAAGTGAAGGTACCACGTCTGCACCTCTGTCACCATCAGGCAAAATTAGTGGTAGCTCTATAGACTTTAAGGGAGGATTTAGATGTCTCCCTGCCAATTATTCTAAACATCTGCTTATCTATGGTGACCTGGCTAAATCTCCCATGTACTTTGGGCTGGGCCTAGCTGCTTACAAACTGTTTTTCTTTTCGATTACAGTGTCTCTTTAACTATTTAGCAATGTCTTAGCGTGCTCATTTGCAGTGTTAAGCCCAGGTAATAACTCTGTATGCTACTGGCGTTTGCTTTGTTCAGTTGCATTAATTTCTTAAGCAAATTTGGAAGTTCACTGAGCGTGATCTCTTTTGCGGAGCTGATTGTTCCTCTCTGATTAAAATGTTTCTTTCACCCCGCAGGCTGATAGAAAACCTCGCAGTTAGAGGGGTGAAGCCAGACGCTGCTTACTTAGATTGCGATCTGTGCTTATTACAATCTCTGCTTACAATCAGTTTTAATTAATTGGGCTCTCATTTAGCTGCAGGCCGGGCGCTTTCCTCTGATTAGACACAGGGAAGAAGAGCAGACAGTCAGGGGAAGAAGGGTGCGGCAAAGTAATTATATTGGGTTTATTTTCTTTTTTTGTCTTCTTTTAAATGGCATATGCTTTAAATAAAATGGGTGTCGTCATACATTGTAAAAGGGGCATTATTTATTTTTCCCCTCTCTGCCCAGTTTTGCACATAATAAACACACATGCAATATAAAAACCTCTCTCCATGGGCAGATTACACTGGTTAGATAGATGTATTAATGTAGAAACAGGCCATAATAGTGACAATATGCCTTTAACCCTTTCGCTGCCAAGGGTTTTAATATTAATTTGAGAAACATTTGCGCAATTATCGCAGGGCCTACAAATTTAGTATCACCATCTTTTTATTCTACCGGGCCTGCGCTTTCAGAAAATATATGGTTTGGGGGGTCTTTTACAAACGCTAGCAACGCAGCAGTTGAAAATCAAACCAATAGGAAAAAATTGCAGAAAATTCAAAAATGGCTTGGCCAGCTGATTTGAAAAATGTTCCGGAGGGCTTGGCAGCGAAAGGGTTAAGGGGAACATAACATCTTATGTGTATATTTTGCTGCATTATATGTGCAGCTATATGTGCTTATCAAAGGCACAGTCTCTGCTATTGCTGTACAATGGTTTTCTTTTATGGCTCCTTCTCACAAGTGTGTGAGATGTCCAACCCACTGCAGGCAATGCACTTTGTGTGGTTGCCTCTTTTCTGAACATTGTAAAGTAGGGAGGTTAATGGACGTCCGTAAAATACAGAGCGCTCTCTTGTGGTGAATCAACAAATCTGTTTAAAGCAATTCGAAGAATACGGTGGCTTGTAAGAATGTTACATTGCAAAAATAAGATAAACAGCACTATTACCTTGAAATAAGTTCTTACTGTACATACACTACTTTTTCCCCTTAGAAGAACTCCAGGAAAAAAAAAACATTATTAGTGAGGTTTCCCCCCCACTGTAAGGGTTAAGTGCTCATTTTTGTCTAGGTGCAAAAATAAGAATTATACTAACCCGATTTTCAGAGCCATCTGGCTGTTAAGACCGGTCCTTCAAGTCTCTTTCTTCCTCCGCTCCAGCGGTCTAATGTCTGGTGAGTCATTATTTGCTTTCTGCATCACAACTGTCAGAAGCCGGCTTAAAGGAGAACTATGGGGTAAGTGTTTTTCCCCATAGTTCTCCTAAGTGTCACGGGTAGACACAAACTAGCGTCCTCCCATGACCGGAATCTCAGTATACCGCAAGCCTCACCTCGCTGTATACTGAGACCGCCGTAGCCGGGACGGATCCCTACATTACTGTCGAGATCCACCCAGCTGCGTGATTGACAGCTGCCTCTGTCTGTCTAGAGGCAGAGCCAGCTGTACCCGCCCCCTGTCCGTTCCACCAGTCAGCACTGGAGGGGAGGGGGAAATCCCTGCAAGGAGCCGTGACAGTCGCGGCTCTCTGCAGGGACAGTTTCAAGAAGTGAGCGAGTGACGGTATGTGTTCGTTCGCTCACTTCCCGATCTATTGAGCCGACGTGTGACAGTTTCATTGTCACACGACGGCTCAAACTATGAGGTTGAGTGAAAATCACTCACCTCATAGTTCTCCTTTTAAAGGGAGCCGACAGCCCCACACACTGTGCAAATTTCGGCCGGTATATTAAAAACCGTCCGGAATTTCGCCAGTGTATGGGCACCTTGAGTTGTCTGTCTCAGTTGTCGCGAGTTTGCTAGGAACCTCCTCGATGACAGCTGAATATTCCCCAAGTGCTTAGCTGACTTGAGGATGTGAAGCCGAATTATCTTTGTGATACTCAAGTGCTCAGGAGGACTGCAAAAATGTGTGACAGTTTGGAGGTCTTTTAATGTTGCAAATGCTGGACGCAAATACTGCACAGTTGAGAAATATTGCAAAAATATGTGCAGTGAGTCGCAAACATTAATTTGTCATAAGAAGACAGAAGAAAAATAGACGTATAACAGAGATAACATTTTGTGGTTAGCTAGCATGATATTGTGGTCTTTGCACCTAAAACTTTTGTTGGAAACTTTTTTTTGCATTGGAACTCAATTCTAGCCTTCTAACCTAATCTACATAATCTGATACTATGCAATATTTGTCCCAACAGTCCTGCTTTGCTCTATTAGTAGAATCTGTTATGTGAACCCACCTGATAGGCAGTACAGTTAGAATAAAGCAAATGCACGTATACAATCTTCGCATGTCTTTGAGCTTTGATTTAGTGGCACTTTTTAGGCTTTAGAGATTAGGATGAACAATGAGGGCTTTATTCCTTTTTTTTTTCTTTTTAACTTCCTTCTAAAAAAACATTTTTCTTGTTAATGTTTTTTTAATTAATGTCATACAGTATTGACTTGTTGTTTTGCTTGTAATATATGGGCATCTCCACAAGGTGGCACAGTTGTCCTATTTTTGCAGCTTAGTGTGTGCTTAAGCCGGTGTGTGCTAATATAATTATTTGAGTATAATCAATATAAATTTGAATTAGAAAGCAGTATATAATAGACTCCCTAAATACTTCTGCACTGTAGAACCTTTCTGTGTTTTTGTTTTTTCATTTATTTTTCTGGAAAAGAGAGCCGAATCGGTATTTAAACCACACAGTCATGTCTGTATGCAGTTTTCCTTTTCACCACCAGAGGGTGAACGCTGTATAAAAAAGGATCTTATACATTTCTCTACATAGCAACAGTACTGAGAGAACACACTAATGATAATGTGATTTAGCACTATTATAATAAAAGGCTTAAATCAAAGGACGCACTGCAGTTATTCTTTCTCTTTTCCTGTGCACCCACAGGAAGGTTAGGTGTATTTTATTACTTTCCATATTATATGAGTTGTAATTAGAAGAAGGTTGCATTTGTAATAATCATTGCCAGCGTATCCGTCTCAGCAGAACTGCGCAGTGCGTTCAGCATTTATTTGTCAGTCTGCTCTGTCATTTTTTGTTCGCTTTAGAGTAGCCTGATAATTTACTGATAGAATAACTGCAAGATATTAGGATTCACTAAGGAGTCCCGTAACAATTATGAATGCCTTCAGCCAGTGGCCTAATGCATTTCTGTGCTCGCTGAACCCCATGATCCTGACCTGCTGGAAATTTACATTATGGGCTACGCTATTGCATACAAAATAATTGCTAGGTCCTAACACAGCAATAGATGATCCATTACATTTGTATAAAGAGAAGGGTGTTGGTTTCCTCTGGAAACAGCTTTTGCACAGATCATTTATACATTTGGATACTTTCACGATCTTTATTAATCAAGAAATAGAAATGATTTAAAAAAAAGTTTATTTTCGGTATATATTTTTTAGATGCCTTCTTACTTGTTACCACCAGATGGTGATATAAGACTGCAAGTGGTGATATATATTTGTAATCGCTATTTTAATACAAAACTGTTATATAATGAAAATGTGATGACTAACAGAAGAACTGAGCTTGCATAAATAAAGAGCCTATACAGTTCTTGCAGCAGACGACAAAAGTGCATATAGTATCTTGATGCCATATGATATTAGAAATATTTATGAGGGATTCACATGCGGTAGGTGGGAATTAAAACTTCCGGTAGATTGCTATAGACTGGTCCTTTTTAGGGATAAACACGGGTGTGTATTTATTAACCATAATAACTGTATTTATTAACTACTAAATCATGTAAACAGATTGGATAAAGGAGGAACTATTTATGTTGTGTATTATTAAATTGTATTAATAATAATTATAAAGATTATTATTATTGTCATTATTTACCTCCAGATAATTTATTAGTAAAAAAAAAAGTAAGTAAAACGTGTGCTGTAAAGATATATAAATGTGTATAGACTTTCACCTGCAGTCTTACGTTTAACCACCAGATGGTGCAACAATACCACAAATAGCCTGCCCTACACCATCCCATAAAATGATTAATCAGAGGTAACGTCTGTGCATAAGATGTTTTTATAAGGATTTCTTTTTTTTGTTTTTTGTAAATTATATATATTTTTTATAAAGATGCGGTCCACTGTGAACAGACAATCTACAAAGCGTTCACCATCACTTACATACCTTTTGTTTTTAGATATAACATCAACTCATTACGAATCATAAGATCCCCAATGTCACTCCATCTTCCCTTTCTTACTTGGAAGCAACTTTGTCACAATGTGATTGTCCCCAGTTTAGAGTGATTATCCAATATTAATCAAGCTCCTGCAGTTTACCAAGTCTTAAATAGCATGCAATGAAAGCATCAATAACTTCCCTGCTGTTCGTGCTGTTTGATTAGAAACCGACGTGTCGGGGAAAGGCAGGGGGTTTGCTGGCTGACACTGATCAACAGAGCTCAGCGTGGTTCTGAACAGCGCTCACAGGCCAGCTGTGAGACAGTAATTGAAGGATAATGAAACCGGGACCTCCTGTGCATACACATCTATAAAGCTGCATGCCACGCTGGATGAATCAAAGGCATGCCCTTGTTTGTGTGTGTCATTTTATGCCTGCAGAAGGGGTTAAAAGGTGACTGGTGCAAGTTCATGGAATGTCCTTTCAGATAGTAGGAACATTTTAGATAACTGCACATTAACAGGATAATAAAGCTTTAGCTGCATCATGTAATGTTATGATAAATGGGCACTCCAACTAACCTTTTCCTGCTACCTACGTCCCTTCTTAATGGAACATGAACAAGCCCTCTTCTGCATTCTTTGGTTGAATAACTACTTTGCTTTAAGACATAGCTTCCATGCCCTCCCTATACATTTATATTACATTATTGTAAAATGCTGGTCATTGCATGGGTGTTTTCCTTTGTGTTATATAATAGACTACACACCATGTGGCCTTTGCTTAGAAATCTTAATATCTGGCATTAAAGCTGAACTCTGTGATAAGGAAATATTGTCTAAATAGAGAGGCATGTGTGTTTTATTTGAGTCCTGGTGTGCTTTGTATATTACTTCCAGATCAGTGCAGTAATCCATTGTGAAGTTTTATCTTTATGCAGGAGCTTCCTGTAATAAAGACCAGTCACTGCTGCTCTCTCTCCATGTGCAGAGTGGCTGGTCTTGTATCTGCCCCCCTCCTGTAGTTCTATGCATGCAGCCTGTAGCTGGTGGACCTGCTGGGCCCCTCCCACAGCTCTGCTCAGTGCACCTCAGTGATGAGGTCACTGCTACCTTAACAAGGTAATATCTGTGTTTGTAAAGGCATTTAGTGCACACAAAGTAGGCTCATCTCATGTGTGGCTATTAGGGAATGTATCTAAAGGAAAGTTTTTGTCCTTGACGCTCAGCTATAACATCGGCAGTGTATTACTTTAGTAAATACCAAGTGTGAAAGTTGAAATGCAAGCCTCGCTATCGGAGATATAAAAAGTGAATCAACATTTACTGTGACTTTGTTTTGTACACCACATAATGGTCTGTGGTTTATTCTGAGTATCTGAGTAATTGGGAAATCAATTGGAGATAGAAAAGATAGTATCGTTGCAGTGTTTATTTACTGCATTTATCACTAAAGACTTAAGCTGGCTATACTCTGAGCCAGGTTCTTAGTGAAGTGGTCCAAATTCACACATTAGGTGGCTTTGTTTGCAGCTCCCCCTCGACATCTGCCAGGCTGAAGATTTTCAATGGAACACCACCTCCATCCGATCAGATGCAGACACTAAGGTCTGGGCCGACTGTCGGAATACAGTAGTTGCAGCCTGTGATTCCTCCGCCCACGCTGTGTATCATGGATGGTGGAATGTGTTTTCCGTTCAACCTAAAAGCTGAATGAAAAAAATCTTAACAGTATATACCCATCTTAATGATAAAGTTAAGATGGCCATACACCTTACAACCATCGCACATCGGTTGTAAGGTAATTAAAAGCTCGTACGATCTGCCCATCTTGGACAGTCAGATCGTACGTGCGATCATCGCAAAGCCCGCCCCGCTGAGGGGAGGGCTTCCGATGTCTTCAATGCTGAGCGGGCACCCCGGCCCGTGCGGCCGAAAATCGCAGGTTTTCCAGCGCGCTAGAAAGACAAAAGACGTGCGACCGTACAGTAGAAGCGGTTGCACGCCTTCCACACACCTGCCGACTATCGTACGATCGCGGGATCACCCGCGATTATCCTACGATAATCGGCAGGTGTATGGGCACCTTTACACTTTAAGCAGCCTGGACCCCAAGTTTGGGTGTCCTTAGAGAAGTGAAAGCATTGCTACAGGGTGATCCTTTTGTGATGGAATCAGTACATTTTCTCAATGGTACAATAGCTGTGTTCTAGCTCTATATGGTTTTGTTTTATCCCCGTACTTTCCTTTTTTGCAGTTGCATGTAAATCTACAATCATCTGAGCGTGAATAAATAATAATAATAATAATGACAAAAGGGGATCCGAGCATACACTGGCGCTCTCAATATAAAACTTTGTTGCACACTTGTAATTTCCATGATTGGTACAGCCAGTTGTTTTGGTATGAGGCTCTGGAAGTCAGGGACCCTAGCTACATAGGAGATCTCCATTCCTCTTGCACATCTCTCTTTATTTGTCGCAGTAGTATGTGTTTTAATACACATTATAATGTTTATCTGAAAGTAGGTTTGGACAGAACATTCACCGTTTGCATTCCTGCTTTTACATTTGTTTACTTTGTTGTTATTCCAAATGTGCAAACGATACAAAAGGTGATATATTTTGTTTGTATTTGGGGGGGTTTCAGTAACGCAGTTGCAACACTATTCTGGCACTTTAGGCATATTAAAAGTTCATGCTCAAAATTAGTGACAGCCGAGCAACCGGTTTCTTGCTATTAGGGACGCATGTGACAGATTCAGG